GGGGGGGGGCAGACAGAGATGGAAGCCGGAGTGACAGCGGCGGGGCGAGAAGCGGAGGGATGCAGAGGCAGAAAGGAAGACAGGAGCGGGGAGCGGGGACAGATCCGAGACACCAGACAGGGACGGGACAGAGCCAGGAGGCGGACAGCCAGAGACGGCCAGGAGAGACACCGAGAGGGAGTGACACAGGCTCAGAGAGTACAGGAGCGGAGGGTACGGGAGACGCAGAGCGACGGGGCAGAGCGATGGGGCAGAGCGATGGGGCACGAGGAGGTAGGGAGAGAGAGGAGCGGAGGGTGGAGGGCCCAGAGAGACAGAGAGGCACGGCACAGATAGGGACAGGAAAAGATTGCTGAGGCCCTGCTCCAACAGGAGGCCAGGGCCCCCGGATGGCGGTGGCCCGGGCAACTCCCCAGACCCCACTGGGACCTGCTTCCAAACCCACTCCCCCAGGCCCTCAGGCCCAGGGTCACGGCCACCCTCCCACCTGGGACACCAGCACAGAGGCCGGGGAGGGAGGCCCGGCCTCGCTCAGGCCATCCGGGCCCTGAGTGCCATCCCAGCCCTGCCCTCTCTCTGGCTTGACTTTGGCCTCAGTCGGGCATCCAGACAAAAGAGAAGGTTTCCTTCAGAAAGCGTTTACGTGTGTGGCTTTATCCGTGCTTGGATGGAGGAGGTGGGGAGAGGCTACCTAGTTAGTACAAGGAATCCTGCCACCTCATGACTCAGGGCCCAGTTCCAGTGGCCACCACAGGGAGCAGGGCCCTTCCTGCCCTGGTTTCCCCACCCCCGGCCTTTGCTGAGCCTTTGAACGGGATCCGCAGGCCCTGCCAGCAAGGGGAATGGCTTCTCATCCTCCTCCAGGCCGCCCTCCTGCAGGCCCCGGCCCCAGCCACCAATTCACCCTTCCCTCCTGTCCCCCAGGCCACAAATAGGGAGCTTCCGGGGTTATGGAGCGGGGGGAGGGTTTCCTGGCTGGAAGACTCTGGAAAAATTCCCCAGTAGGAAGATGCCCCTCATTGGCTCTCTTGGTCATGTCTTCCAGAAGCATCTCCTGGGGCCCCACTCCGCACCAGGCCTGTGTGAGGGGTCACCAGGAAGGAGAGGGCACAGCCCCTTCCCTCTGGGAGCTCACACCTGTCAGGCTTCTATCCAGCCTGCCTCCAGAGCGTCTGCCCTTTGGCCCTGGCGGCCCCCCCATCCCTTCTGGACCTCCGTTTCCCCATCTGTAAAGCTGAAGGCTCAAGCAAGACAAGCTTAAGACATTTCCAATCGGGGGGAACACTGGGGACCTGAGTCTGAGGGCTGAGGACCTCTCACCTCGCTGGGGCTCAGGGTCCTCACCTGAGGAACAGAGCAGGCAGGTGGCCCTGTGGGGCCAGGGTTGTGCAAAATGACAGCATGGTCACTCAGGCTCTGCTCTCTGGGCCCTTCCCAGTGCCTGGAAAAACTCAGCATCCTCCGCCCCCTACCAAGGCCCCTTCTCTTGTGACAGGGACACCTGGGACCCAATAACAGCAGCAGGAATAGGAGCAGGGCACACTTATTGAGCACTTCCTGTGTGCCAGGCCCCAGGCTCTATCCCATCGAATACTCCTGAGAGCCCATAAGCCTAGGTGCCGTCACTGTCCCCTACTTTACTGCGGGGTCAGGGGAGCTAAGAGGCTTGCCTTGGGTCACGCTAGGAGTCACCAAGCCCACACTCCCACCCCTAACTCTATCCGGAGGGGCAGACCACATTCTCCAGCCCCTCTGAAATTCGAGACTCCTCTAGCAACCCCAGTGGTTGGAGGTTCCCCCCTCTCAGGATTCTGTCCATTTCAAGGTCTCTGCGCGAGGCCCCCTGCCCAGAAGGCTCTCCCCCTGGCTGCCCACCCGGAGCCTTTAAGGCTCAATTCTGGTATCACCTCCTCAGTGAAACTTCCCACTCCCCCAGCCCTCCTCCAAGCTAGATTAGAAAAATCCTTTGGGCTCCCTCAGCCTCTCAGGCTTCCATCTGTCACAGCTCCTAACATCCTGTCTGGTCACTGTCAGCTGTAGCCCATCTCCCACCCCCTCACCCCCACCCCCAGACTGAGCTCCTCGAGAGCAGAGCCGGGTCCACCTCACTGCTCAGTTCCCAGTGCTCGGCTCAGGGCCCCGAGCAGTGCAGGCTTCCCTGGCTGTGCTGGGGAAATGGACAGACTAGTGGGTGAACGACAATGCTGAACGAAGCCCGGACCCCTCTCCTTTTATCTGGCTGTCTACTTAGGGATCCAAGGCCCCAGCCTCCCCAGGAAGGCATCAGAGCCAAGTCGACAGTGGGTATGTCTCAGGTCACTTGCCAGCTTGTCCTGAACGCCCAGGTCAAGGTCCCACCAGCTCAGAACGGGGTGCTGCCCCAGAGAGCCAAGCGTGCCCTCTCCCACCACCAGGACGCCAGAGAACCCAGCCTCGGAGCAGGCGGGAGCCAGGCAGCACTGACTCTCCTGGGAGTGAGTCACCTTGACATTTGGGGGTTTGTGCTGTGGCTGAGGCTGCAGTCAGGCATGACAAGGTGGGTGAGCTGGCTTCGGGGAGACGGTGGGGGAAGGCAGGAGGGGTTGCCGGCTGGGGAAGGGCCCTGCTCTGTGAGGCAGAGCCCCACCTCCACCCCCAAGCGACCCCCACAAGGCAGAGCTGCCTGAGAGGTGGGAATCCCTCCCAGAATTTCAGGGAGCCCCGTGGGGAAGCAGCCCCGGCTTCCGTTTCAGGCCATCTCCTCTTCCCAGCCCGGGAAAAGAGGAGTAAGCTGGAGCCCTAGAGAAGCTTCTGTCCAGGGGCTGCACCTGGCTAAGGTCAGGAGAAGAACGCATTCCCAGCCACCACGAGGCAAAGAAACATGAGCAGAAGTGACTAGATGGACTTAAATGCCCAGAAATGAGAAATGAAAGCAATAGAAAATGATGGATGCTTCCCGCCGCCGCCTTGACGAGTCCCTTCAATCACCCGCTGCTCGGAGGCATTTAAAAATTGCCCCTCCTGGGGAGCCCGGCTGGCTCAGACAGTGGAGCACGAGATCTTGATCCCCGGGTTGTGAGTTTGCGCCCCACACTGGGCGTAGAGATGACTTAACAATAAAATCGAAAAAAACTGCCCCTCCTGCTCCCTCCCACTCAGCTCTCCTGGCTCTGCGGGGTTCCCTGGGGACCCTTCCCACCAACGCCATCCCTGGTCCAGGGGTCCTTGAGCTTGCCCAGAAAGCCCCAGCTTCCCTGACACTTACTATGATAAGCAGGATAAAATAGATGAAGTTGTAGAAGGAATGAGCATCCATCACATAGTACATGATCTCCACCCAGCCTTCCAGAGTAATCACCTGCAGCCAGAACAGAGCAGAGAAGGAGTGAGCCTGAAACAGGAAAGGCAGAACTAATGATGTAATGTATGGGGATTAACATAAGAATAAAAAAAAATAAAAATAAGCAATGATGAAACAGGAAAGGCAGGACCCTCAGGCAAGGCAGGCAGCAAATGCAGCGCCCCAAGCAGAGGCCCTACTGTGTGCCAGACTGCTTTATACACAATGTCTCTTGGACTCCTCACAAGGCTCGATGAGCCAGCCATCCTCATCCCCAGTACACGCGTGAGGAGACGGAAGCTCAGAGAGGTTAGAGTATTTGCCCACTGTCGGCCAGGAAGGCGGAGGGAGCCAGACTTAAGCCTGGTCCCTCTTGCTCCAGAGGCCCCCTCTCTCCAGTCTCCCCCTGCACCAAGGCAGGAGGGCTGGAAGCCGGGGGTCCTGGGCTCCAGCCCCAGCTCACCAGCTGGGCCATTCCCTGAACCTCAGCTGCTGCTTCTTCTTCTTCTAGCACATGGGGCTACCAGCCTACCCGGTAAGCAGGGCTGGGGTGCAGCTCGGCAGAGCCCAGGAGGCCCATGTGACTGTTGCCCTGTTCTCTTTCCCAGAGAGCGAGGCAGAGCAGCCTCGGGCACAACAAATGCTGGGCCCTCCCCAGCACTGTCCTCTTGTTTGCTTCTGGAGCAGAAGCCCCTGCGCAGGCCACTCACCTTCTCGGGGCCGAGGGTCTCCAAACGCAGCTGCTCGGCTCTGATCACATCACATCACACCTTGCAGCCCTGACTTCTGTGATCTCACTGCTCCCCAGAGCAAAGCCCCAGAGCAAAGCGCAGCCACCCCGCTAAGGCCCTCCCTTCTCCTGGGGGCTTCTCAGCCACCACCCTCTGCTCCAGCCCTGTTCTTCCTTCTGAGGGCCCCGGGAAGGTGACCTTGACCAAGCACTCACTCCGCGGGCTGACTGCTCTGCTCACTCATCTGGTTTCTTCTTCTCAGCTACTCAGGGTAAGAGAGCTGTTATTACCCTGACGTAGAGGTGAAAAACTGAGGCACAGAGACATCAAGCATTACACCCAAGGTCCCACAGCCCTAGTTCCCTAAACATACCCCATCCCTGTCCTCTGCAATGCCCTGGGGCCACGCAAGGCAATAAAGCCCTTTGCACACAGTAACAGTAACACTGCTTTGTGATGGGGGCACCTGGGTGGCTCAGTAGACTAAGCGTCTGCCTTTGGCTCAGGTCGTGATCCCAGGGTTCTGGGATCAAGTCCCACTTCCTTGCTCAGTGGGGAGCCTGCTTCTCCCTCTGCCTGCCACTCCCCCTGCTTGTGCTCTGTCCCCCCCCCCTCTGATAAATAAATAAATAAAATCTTTAAAAGAAAAAACGTTTATTTTTGTAAGTGTGTGTGTATGTGTATATATATACACATATATACATACACACATATATATATAATTCACGCACTGAGTAAAATGTCTTTCTTACTGACTGATCAAAAGAACGGTCCAAGAGACCCTGCCCAAACAGACAAACAGTTCCCTGGAGCTCTCTGCACACCCCCGGGGCTTCCCTGCACCCACGCCTTTGCTCAAGCGGTCACCTCCACCAGAAACATCTTTGCCCCCACATCCTGAGCGTGGGCCTGGCCTGGTCCGCCCCTAGAGCAAGGCGTGAGTCTGGCCTCTCCCCTCTATAAACAGACCTCCCCGCTGGGTCCCGTCTGCCCCTAGGCCGCCTGCGATTCCACAAAGAGCACAGGCTTTGGGGTCACCCGGACCTGGGTTAAAATCCTGATTCTCAGGGCGCCTGGGTGGCTCAGTTGGTTGGGCGACTGCCTTCGGCTCAGGTCATGATCCCGGAGTCCCGGGATCGAGTCCC